GCCCTCCTTCTGGCTCTGATTTGTTGTTTCTGACCTTATGAGCATGTGTGAATGTGGATTCATGTTCTCAAATTGTCAAATTCACAAATTGGAAAATTTGGGTTTGAAGCAAAACATTTGTTGTTATTCAAAGCATATGCCTATGTTTAATTTCAAGTGGGTGAGTCAGGCAACAAAGTAATCCTTAATCTGTTCACCTTTGTGAATAAAACACCCTCTCTTGTCTCCTAGTCGTATTTCAACTTGATATATGAATGCAACCTGAAACACATAGCCAGGAATCAACCGTTAAGCAGTTTCAGGATGACATAATGATGACAACACAAGCTTTTGATTAACAGGATCTTTTTAATACATACGAAACGTCACTAAAAAGGAATAGAAATACCAAGTATTGGGAACATAAAGTCAAGAACCTTGGTTTTACAAGTAGAGTATATATCATATTTGAAGACTTGAGGGCAGATTGTACAGGTAGACGATCTGATGTGTTCCTGTAACATTTCTGGTGGAAAACAAAACTGTTTAAATGTAGAAGTAGTTTTGATGTCAATTCTGGCTAAATTTGGTAAAAAACCTACTATACAAGTGTTCAAAACACCACTCTACCTATCCCTACAAGTAAGGTGGGTGAAATCAGCCTTATATTTTCCAAGGAACTCTACAGTTGACTGCTTTTTGCTTTTAGCATATTGTTTAAGGGGAAGTTCCCCGTGTGAGTACAGTTCTTCTTTTGCTCATAGTTGCCGCATCACTGCTAGCTGATAAGTATCATGTGTGCACAGAAACATGAAACACTTAATGAATTATAATTAAAACAATTTTTTTCATAGAAAATTGTTGCTTTTCTGTATAATCACTCTACACATTAACCGAATATACTCTGAAAAGTTAGAGAAAAGTGTCCTGAGAAGAGCATTTGGGGCACAAAGAAAGACTGACTCACTGCGAAGCAAGGGAGGCTACGTGCGTGAGGACACAGATCAGGTGCGGACTCTCTTTGTGAACAGGTGAATTCGAGCCGCTTGTTGAGTCATGAGAAAATTATCCTGGGCACTGTCCGGTGCATTTGATCTCACCATGTTTACCTGCCTGCAAAGAGAGAATCTGAAGGTCTCACATCCATGGCACAAATCAGTTCAAACAGAAATTATGTTAAAGTGCCTGACAAAAAACGTTCATGCCATCAATAATTTTGCACATTTCTTCACGAGACAACCAAAAAAACCCTCTGCTTTTTGTAGAGACTTATTCTGATAAATGAATCATGCAAAAAGTAAAAGTCATGCATGATTATGTGCCTTTTCTTTCAAGCTTATTTTCATGGATACCCCTAGAGAAAATCCACTGTAGTCTTCTGAAGTCACATTGTTAGCAATAACAATCCACCTGTGTGTAATTTAATCTCAGTATAAATAGAGCTGGAAAGGTCTCAGAGGTTTGTCAGAGAAAATTAGTGAACAAACAGCATCATGAAGACCAAAGAACATGGCAGACATCTCTGAGAAAATATTGTTGAAAAGATTAAAGAAGGGCTGGATTGAAAAACAATATCCCAAATTTTGAACATCTCACGGAGCTCTGTTCATTCCATCGTCTGATTGAAGATGGAAGCAGTACTTGCACCGCTTTATTACTTTGCATATAAAAGCATCAGAATCAAAATCTGCCTTATTCACCAAGTGTGTGCACATACTGCTTTGCTCTCAGTTAAAATGTAAGTACTTAAAAAGGCAAAATAAAAATATCATGTATGTGTATTTTACAAAAGAGGAAGACGAGGTTGAATTAGTGCATTTATGCATAGTATCAATCTGGGCATTCTGCATTTACAAAAACACAGCCTTGGGGAGATAAACTGTCTCCATGGTGATTGGTTTTAGCAAGAAGTGTTCTGTAGTGTCAACCTGATGGCAAAAGTCTAAATAGTCTCCAGGATGTGTGGGGTCTGCAGAGATGTTAGCTACCCTTTTTCTTACCCTAGCAAAGTCTGGATGGAGGGAAAGCCCCAATGATCCTCTCAGCAGACATGGTTGCATTGTATGCTGTCAGTTTTTCTAGCCTGTCATTTTACTTGAAGAAGTAAAATGTGAAATTGCCATTTTACTTGTTTTTTTTCTGAGGCAGTTATGCTTGTTTGGAAATACCTGTTGTAACTGAAGATAATTTTGTCTGGTTATACCCATTGGCTCGCAGTTGCTGAATTTTGTATAAAATCTAACTTCTGTGTATCCAATAACTTATGTAACATTTATCTTCAGGCAGTACGCAGCTTTTCATCGTTTGCAGACACAATAGAAATCATGTCAGAGGATTCTTGGAAAGTACAACATACAGAAAACTTTGGGTGAAACATCCTGCAGTGCGTACTCTGTATTGCAGCTTTATACGTAAAGGCTTTGTTCACAAAGGACCAGACTTGAACTCCATGTGACAGCCATCCTGACCGTTTGATTTACGACACAATACCACCCTTCAGAGCATTTGCTCCTTTGTTCCAGGAATATGGCTGTTATTGTTTTTGTTGGCGTTTCAAAGGATTTGCTGGTTGAAATCAAGCAATAACAAACAGTTTCAGAGTTTGCCATTTTTCCTCTTCGTCTCTGCTACTGCATGGATGCAGACGTTCTTCCTCCTCTGCTATCATGATTATTTTTCTTTTGATTTCTGTGAGATCTCACAGGATACAAGCTTTGGCAATGTGCATCATGGAAGTTTTATCCTGGCATCTAGATTGCGCACATTATGTTATTTTTTTTGTTTAAGAAATGGACAAAAGATTTCCCCCAAAAAGTTGAGTAAATACGTTTGAATAATAAAAGTGAAACTAGATTCAGCTTCAGATTTTCTTCCTCCATGTTTTCAGTGGACTGTTGTCTTAAGATTTCAAAGGCAATGAAGAAAAATACAGGCCAAATTTTGACAAACGTATCCTTCCTCCCCGTGGTGCTTTCAGGTGCTCTGCAAACACATGTGTTTCCTTTACAATCCTTGAAATTATTTTCTTTTCAGTTTTTGTAACAACCTCTGGACACCTTTCAAAATCCTACACAAAAGTTCTTAGTTTTCATTTTTAATATTTGTTTTTTGAAGTGTTTGGAAGCAAACACTACAATTTCACAGCAGAGAGGCTGAATGAAAGGCAAACTCATGGGAAAATCCGTAGCTTGTTGTTTATGGAATGAGACCTGAAGATAAAACAGATTTTGCTGTCACGGAGCTAGAGATAAATTATTGAAAAATGACTTAAGCCACAGAAGCAGTTAATCACCCAAGAGGCCACGTGACAATAAACAACAACATCTAAAGAACTGAAGTCCTCATTTAAAAGTCGATGAAAAATCCTACAGAAATGCAGGAATAATTTCAGCTACAGTAGTGACATGCTTACTCATGAGTCTAATAATAAATTGAATAAAATTAACCCTGAAACGTTAACTTTTTGCCAGAGTGAATTTTGCTTTAATTTCAAGTGAAGCCAAATATTGTCAGAAAGACAATATATTTTAACTTGCTGAAAACCAAAATAAATCACCAAATTTAGTACTAATAAAACTAATCAATTTCATTTTTCTCAAAACATCAATTTTAGTATATTTTTTGGGGGATATTTAGAAACCATGTCAAAAAGTAGTTTCCAACTTTAAAGTTACACAAAGAACCCCAGTAGATTTTGGACCATGTTCAATATTTTTGCAAATAAAGATGGAATATAATTCCTTATGCTTTATGTCTCGCAAAGGTTAAAGGAAACATCATAAAGAATGTATGTATAAACAAAACTGTGCAGGCAAGCGGGTGTGGAATTTATAAAATCTTTTAACAACAAACATTTCAAAAGCAGATGATTCATAAACAGAACAAAATTAGGGACCGCCAAACTAAACTTAATATAAGAGAGGATTACTTGCCATCAAGGGAAGGGAGTCAAGTGAAGACTCAACTTTCAAGGAGGAAATGAACATGGGACTAGTTAGATATAGAGTAAATTAAGCCTAAGTACCCAGATAGAGCAGAAAACAGGATTAAGAACAGACAGAGTAAGTCTTTTCCTTATTGTATCACGGCTTTATGTGATACAAAGTCTCCACTGGCGGGGTTTTTCCAGGCCCTCTTTATTCAGCTAGAAACCGGAAAAATGTGATGTTTGAGATCGCATAAAGTCCACTTGGAATGCAAGGACCGCTTTTTAGAATATAGTTTGATCAGTTCTTGCATTTTTTATGCATTACTAATCACTACTCCTGAAACTAACTCTCCAAGCAAATCAGAGAAAGGTTTATTGAAAAGAATTATACAGCCAGTGCTGTTGGACACCACTGACTTAAGATCCTTCTCTGTGGTTCTGGTGTGGCTTAACTGGGATGTGACAGTTTTAACCTTCAATAAGTAGTATGGCAAATGTTGACACACTTTTTCAACCTTTTTGATTAATCCCCAAACTCTTGAATAGGCTTTGTTTCATAATTATTTTAAGGCTACATGCTTTTTGTAAATCTTTGTTTGGTACACTTTTTCCTTCCACTCAACTTTACATAATCCAGGGTATACAGCAATGACCTCCTGTAGTATACCCATCTTTTGGGGTATGTCAATGACTGCTGTACAACTGTCAAGTCAGTTTTCCCAAGGACTGTGTAGGTCAACTGTAACAATTTTTGCATTCAAATAATTTTTATTGGTGTTGTGTAACATTAAAATTTTCTGATAAACTGATTTTTTTTAAAACCGCTGTAAATATTCAACCTTAAATTTGCGTACATCACACTGTGTGTAATATGCAATGTGTTTGTCTGAATGAATAAAATTAACTTTAGACGATATTCCGGCTGATTAAAGTTCACATGTAAGTACAAGGCGAGAGGGAGGAGCTTGATTTTTTGTGGACCTCCTACATTTTAAAGTGTTTGATAATACACAAAGGGTCAGGACTCGCTCCTCTACGGGCTTCCGCTAAGTGGGAGGACCTTCATTTGCTTCGGACAACCCACTTAGAAACTCGTCATCTTTGCTATAAGAACGCGTGGCTCAGCTCATGTCTGCATGTCTGTTTCCATAAGGTTGAAGAGGCAGAAGGCTGCTGCAGCTGGAAGTTTTTACACATCCACGAAAACTGCGTGAGACGAAACAGAAGAAGGAGATCTCATTTCAACCGACGGAAGGGTGAAGGACCAGACCTGATACAAGGTTAAAGAGAGAGAGATACCACGCTGAAACAGAGAGAGACTTCTTGAAAAGTAGAAAACTCCTAAGACTCAAAGGCTTTTCAGAGGAACAGAAGCTTAGTAAAGATGAACAATTTCTGAACAGAGGTCCGTAGGAAGGCTGTCCATCAACTCTAACGATAAACTGACAGACAAAGAAAAAAACGCCTTTCTCCTTTCGCTGCCATGGATTCAGGAAAGGTAATAAAACTTCGCAACAACAAGCTCTCTATCCTGTCAAACTCGTTTAGTTGCCGGTGGTTTTAAAGGCATTGCGTGAGATTTCACTTCACCCAGTTCTTATTTTTTAACCCGTTGGGCGCCATGACACAGCTAATACTTAAACATCCTTTTGTCTGCTTATTACATAGTTGTTGCGTCTGATAGTGTTTTAATCCCAAAATTATAGCTATTATAGTCTTGATTTCATCTCAAGTCAATATGTGTGTCTTTATTTAATAGGTCCGATCACATTCAAATTATTTAAAGTTGCGGGAATCTTAAGTCCACATGTTTCATTTTTTTACTATGCGTCATGACGTCACGGAAGGGGGCTTGATGCAGACTGAGGTGGTCTGTTCCTGTAAGGGGCTACGTGACTAAAGTTTCAAAAGACCCCGGATACGTCATGATTAATACTTATGTGTGTGGTACTAATATTCCGAATGTATTCAACGTTAATTGTTTTAGTTATTAAAATAAAACAATAAAAGTAACATTTAAAACAAAAATAAGTAAGATAATCAGGATTACATTTTAGATTTTATTTTTCAAAACAAAAGGACGGGGTAAAAAAAAGATCTGGTTTATAACTTCTGCCTATCTGATTACTGTTTCAAAGTAATTTCTGAAGTAAAATACATGAAAGAGAATCTCATGGGGTTCATATGTATTATTTTTGCTAAATATTGTAATACCACAGGAATTTAGAAGGAATTTCATACTAGGATGTGTTTATTAAACTTGAAGTTTATGAAAGTTTAAGTATAGGCCAACAAAATCTTCTCAGTGTGAAAATCGTATTAAAATACTAAAAAGTGGCATGTTTTTCTTATAAAACTAATAAAAAGTTAACAAATTTTTAGTTGCTGAAAAATGATTAGCTTGGTTTGAAAATAATGACATGTGTCTTTAATAATTTTGCTGCCTATTATATTCAAAGATACTAATGTTTAGCTTTAGTCTAGTATCGACATTTTTTAATGTGATTTACTTTCAAAACAGTTTTCCTTAACAGTCGATGTTTTTGGCAATCTGGTTTCAGAACATTCTAACATTTTGTATCAGGAACAATTTATAAAACTGGTGACACTCTGTCAGTCCTGCCGATACAGTATCAAGCTATCAACTAAAGGTTCTGGTTTGTTTCAGAACAAACATATTTAAACTAATCATATCGGAACAATATGATGGTGTATTTGTCTCATTAAGTTCAGAGTTATGTATTATAATGCTCCATGTCCTGAAAATATGACTTATCTGCTGCGTGATAATGTTAGCTCCATCCTGCTATGTTTTTGGTCACAAGTTGCACGGAGACCAGTGAAGCATAAACACCACAGGACTTCAGCCCCCCCATCCTCCTCCTGCTCTTCCCTTGATGTTTCCCTGGCTGTCCTTTATGTCCCTCCATCTGCAGGGGGAGGGGGCTCAGGGACATTATGGGATGGTTCTCAGTGTTTCCACTTCACGGTGTGATGGTGACACAGAGTTGCTCCTGAGTAAGAGCTCTTAGAGAAAATAGTGAGTCTTCAAGCCTAGAGCTCCCTCTGTGTCAGATGTTGCTTTCATTGGTGCTTCTGAGCTGTTGTGTGTATTTATGTTTCCGTGCATAGGCTAATCACCGTCTTGTGATCGGGATTTTAATATCTGGCATTCAATTAGAGTTGGGTAGTTAAGAGCAGATTAACACGTCACCAGTCATAGTTTGGCCTCCAATGACGTGATTCATTTGTTTAATCTGCAGCGTCTCTATTGGCAACTATTGTCCCAACAAGGTGCGGCTTGTTAATGCTGTAGAGGAAGGACATTGCTTATGGAAAGTGCTTTGGTAATTATTCCTAATATCTTGAACTTATCCTTTTAGCATTGGATTTTCAGTGATTTTTGTCAACTGGAAAATTTCCCCCCCGTCTTCCAACCCAAATGAGGATTGTTACCTGGGGCCAAGCACATGGCTGATCTGCTCTGTTTGGAACTGGAGAGCTGTTAAGTTCTTGCCAACTCGTATGGCAGCAGGTATTTTGATTGGGGGGTCCAGAGTCAGTACCGTTGGCTCATAGTACATCAGCAATGACAGCAGCTGAAGTCTTTTCCATTCCCTGCTTGTCAGACCTCTGCCAACTCTGACCGCTCTTAAAATGCTCCAGTAGTTTTTCCTTTCATCTGCAAGACTGCCTCCCCTCGGCATGTCTCCTAATGTAACTGTCATCTTTGTTGTAATGAGGCACAATGAGGATTTTCTGCAAAAGAAGATTTCACTACAACTTGACTATGATGCAGAGTGAAGCAAGATTCCATGTTTAAGGTATTTTATTAGTCCTCTGACTGGTATGAAGTCAGACATACTGTGTTTAACGTGTATTAAGGTGTACCCTACCATTGTTGGTAGTGTAGAGACTTTTTGGAGGATAGAAGGGCAAAACCTGCTTGACCCAAAGACAGAACAGTTCCATTAGCTGAGAATCAGCTGTACACCCTCATTGAAAGGATAAGGGACAGTATTTTGGGGACAGTAAAGCCTACATTTTTTTAGTAAAAGTGACTGTCAGTAAATAGAGAAAAGAAAGCAGCTCCTGGTGGATCCTCCACCATGTTTGTCTTCACATAATGTCCAACCATCTGTGACCACAGTTTCTTTAACACATGAATGCCACTTGGGTCAACAGTAAACATGCTTCATATTGACTTCAAAAGCATTAAAGCCCCAGGAAGTGGTTGAATCCTGTTTTTGTTTTTTTTATATAACAAGTGAAATTTGTTCTGAAAAACAAGACCGATTCTCAGCTCCTTCGAATCTGCACTAGACATTGCCAGTCTAAAATTTTATAAATGTTTTAAGCAGTAATAGTTTCAAAAGCACTTCAATTAGTTACCATAGCATTCCTACACTTCAGAGTGCCTTTAATGAGGTAAATACTGAGGAAAAGATTTTAGTCTCTTGTGGGTATTTGACATAGAAAACACAGTGGCACAATGCTGTCCCTCTCCCCTGTTACTGTGCACTGCCTGAAAGAAGGCAATATTTTTAGACAATTCCCTTTAAACTAGCAGAGCACCATCTTACTTACTCGTAACCCTTTAGCTACTTCAATATTGAATTCTTTTGTGGTCAATGGATCATAAAGACCATGATTAAACCCACCATGCATCGTAAATCTTATGTGTTCAGAGGTCCAGATTGTTTTAAATACTGATGGGAGCTGGAATAAATTGGAGTGTTTAAACATGTGGAATTGACGTGAATAGTGCGCAGGAACTTAGTTTGTCTTTATAAAGAGCAGAATGCCGGAAGATATAAAATTCTAAGTAAGAAGAATATTTTCTTGAAAACTACATATTTAACAGTTGTTTATTCTAATTTTGTACCTGAGGTTTCACTTGTACAAAACAACAATAAACATAGTGTGCAGACGATCAGTATGTAACATTTTATAAACTACAACGAAATGAAAGTGGCTAGATCATATTACACATGTTGTTTTGGATTTTATTTTTGTTTTGATGCTGTCATGGTTAAGTTGCTCACCCATGCCTTATGTCCAGAAATATACACACTGTTGACTTTAATATTACAAGTGAGCTGTCACTAGTGTCACAATTAAATTCAGTCAACACATTCCTGGGGGCGGAGCAGACTATAAATACGTCTTTATCTGTGTCTGGTTGAAGTGTCACTGGAACTGATAGATAAGGCCCGGAAGACTTTTGCAGTGGCATTGGCTGAGTACATCGTACATAGTGTACAGGTGACCCGATGTTCTGCATGAGACCAATTGGAAATGCTTCACACGGCAAACATGCAACGTTAGCTGCTTCATATTCTTAACTGTGGACACAAATGTGGATAATGAAGCTGGGGTTGCATACAAAAGATGATTTTGTGCAGATATTTCATGATACAGCCCTTCTGAAAGAAGGAGATATCTCGTGTTGCAAGAAATTTCACAAGAAACACTTGGCAAATTGAAAGTACGTCTGGGCCCAATTCCTTCTTTTCTTATTAAAAATGGAAGTCTATTCCTTATTTTGTTGGGATTTTATTTAACCTTCAACTTTTCAGTAATAACCTAAACAAGTCCAGATCTGAAACAACAACAATGGGTTAACATATTTGGCATATCAAAACAGAAGAGGCAGACAGTTGTTTATTTTTTTCCTTGTTGGGATTTGAATTATTTATATTTTGTTGGTATGTAACAGTTTTACCTTCACAACAACAGCAAAATATTACAGATCATTTCTGGAAAGACAAATTTAGAGTTGTGCCCAATTTTCAAAACTTTTTCAAATTAATAAATTTTTTTGTAGCTGGATGTTTTTGGTCCTGTTAACTAAGAATTTCAAATGAAAGCAAAAAATGAAAATGTTATATACTTTGCATTGTTCCCAACATTTTTCATCTTAAGAGTATTTAAATTTGTCAAATTTAAATCCTGGCAGTCCAAACATTATTGAATTGCGTGTAGGGGCCAAACAAAATCACTCCAGTGTCCACAAATGGCCTCTGAACCACACTTTGGACACCCCTCACGTAGACAATGCTTGTCATGATTTGCATTTTTTTTTTTAATCGTGTGACTTTTTTTAATTCACTACAGTATCACAAGATAAAGGACATTTCTTTCAGAATCTAAGCTATAGCTTTATTAATCACAAAGATGGATGTATTCTCTGCTGACCACTGTTTAACTGTTAAGTGACCACCGTGGGGGAGCAGGGTTTGCTATCAGTGTGAGGGCGCTCTAGGAGGCGGGCGCATGTCGGGCTCCGCACAGCTGTGTAAGCTGAGACCAAAGAGATGACATGCTGAGAGACGTGATGGGTGTAGTGTAGGCCAGAGCGGTTGATCCGGCGCAGACTGGCAAAAAGGAAATGAAATGAGTCGCACTTCTGCCTGCTTTTAATCCTTTACTTATTCATCGGGGAAGTACTTATGAATGGCTAAGATGAGTCACCGAGAAACAGAAAAACTACCTTTT